GTATATATACGTTTTAATAATTGAGGTGTAAAACAATCAACCTATTCGTTATTATTGACGTATACGCTTATTCGATTATTTAAAAAATAACTAATCTACCTGAAACAAGCCATCGCTCGAGCAGCGCGGATGGTACAATTTTGATTTCATCGTATCAGGTTCATTCTATCGAACATACTTGAGAAAACAGTCGGCTCCTCTTAGTTAGCGTGTTCTAAGCAATTTCTGCAGGTCAAAAGAGATCCCAAGAGTCGAAGGAATTTGCATTGTCTCGATATGTAGCTGAAAGGAAAGCTTTCTTACGAAAGTTTCGATCTTAAAAACAGCTTGTTTCCTATCTTGAACTCGAATGGATCTTCTCATCCATTTAGTCCATTTTCTTGTTTCCTTGTGAGACGGAGCTGCGCATTCCAGGGATGGGTTTTACCGTTTCAGTATCCTTGATCTATCGCGAGTTATGATATGGCTCTTTGCAGCTGCTGGGATATTGGCGATAATGTCTCGATGATCGAAATTCGTGCCATCGACGATCGAGCGAACTATGATTACGCTTGCCGTAGAAGCTGTTTATTTAACCATTGAAACATCCATTGTGCTTTCGCACAAGTAGTCGAAAATCGCGTTAGAATCAAACAAATCCACGTGCCACGGTGATAAACTTGTTTTTTTTTTTTTTTTTTTTTTAAAGTAAATTTATTACCCGCGAGAGCAGCACGTTCGAACATATCGTATTTGAAGAATGTCAAAAGATTCCGTGGGTTGAAACCCGAGGTAGATCGCATCTTTTCGCCACGTATTTCACATAGAGAACCTTCGGTGTGTGATCGTTACTGATACTGCATACTTGTATTACGTTACAGCGCCTTACGAGGGTGGAATATGGAAGGTGAGAGTTCACTTGCCCGAGCACTACCCCTTCAAATCTCCTTCGATCGGCTTCATGAACAAGGTGTACCACCCTAACATTGACGAAGTCTCAGGCACAGTGTGTCTAGACGTAATAAACCAGGCTTGGACTGCCCTTTACGGTACGTATTTACACGATCGTCAAATTTAACCCAATCCTCCCCCCCCCGCCCCCGCCCACTAAGTACATAAATCGTACAACATTCTGAAGAAATTTGACCAGAGACCACTTCTCGTTTACTGTTGCAGATTTGTCGAATATATTCGAGTCTTTCCTACCCCAGTTGTTAACATATCCTAATCCAATCGACCCATTAAATGGCGACGCAGCTGCCATGTATCTACACAAACCTGAGGAGTACAAGAAGAAAGTAGCAGGTGAGTTGAGAGTACGAGAAGTATAACTGAATATCATTTGGTATATCACTCTCTGCGTTCACGAGCCTCGTTTTCGTTCATTTACGTTACGTTACGGGTTTCGTGGGTCAAAAACCATCTCTCGCGATGTAATATCACGAGGGCAACTTGTTGAGAGTCAGCTAGGACGACGTTCGAAACACGTTATATTTCCAACGTCGAATGAACGTACGAGAATATATCAGCCGGGGATGCAATTTCCTTCTTGATTTCTTGGCAGATTACGTGAGGAAGTACGCGACAGAGGAGGCGCTAAGGGACCAGGAGAACAGCGGTACCGAAAACGGAGTGTCGTCCGATAGCGAGTCTTCGATGAGCGACTTCAGCGAGGACGAGGCGCAGGACATGGAGTTGTAACCAAATATTTTACCATCCGTACCCATATCCTTAATCTCGATTCCCTGTAAACTCCGATCGCTCGTCCTACCAAATAGATGCTTTTACATTTCGAACCTCCGAACCTCACTATCGGTTTAGCTACGTGGCACACTCGTCACTTTGTTTCGTAGGGGAACGTTGAACCGCGACCAGGCTGTTTGTTAATTAATCGAGTGGTAAAAAGAAAAGAAAAAGAAAAACAAAGAAACGATGGAAGGAGACACGTACGTACGAAAGAAAGAAAGAAAGAAAAAAAAAGAGAATTCGAAGGAAACGGAAGAATGTATAAGAATAATGACGTATAACGTAGAAGAGAGAATATTCGCTTTTGGAGTTCTCT